TATACATAGACATGGGTCTAGCTGTGCTTCCAGGCCTGTCTGTGTCCAGGTCTAGCTCTGCATGCAGGTCTCCACCAGTTCTGGGGCCCATYACTGCAGCCATAGGTCCATGGCTCTCCCCAGACTCCCAAAGAGGCCCGTTCTGAGAGGTCTGACCCTCAAAAACCAAGGCTGACACCAGCTGTTAAAACACCTATTCGGGTATTTATTACAACACATTGTTCCAAAATACAAAAGAAAGGAAAAGAAAGTAGAGGGTAGAAAAGCACTGCTGTTTACAGCCTCTGGTAATAAATAAATAAAGACGAGGCAGGGGCAGGGTGTCTCCCCGGGTCTGACACTGGCGCTGGCCAAATGGACAGTGAGGAAGGGAGTGTGGTGGGGCTGGTGGCCAGACCCTCTTTTCCGTGCTTGGGAGTCCGCAGGTACACCAGGGTGAGTACAGACCCCCTCTCTGTGTTGTGCTTGCTGAGGAAGGGTCTGATCCTGCAGGGATGAGGGAGGGAGAAGAGGCTCAGTCCTGGCATGGTCAGAACCTGCCTGCTCCCTCCCTGTCCMCGGCTGCTTCAAAGGCAGGTGAGGTAGGAAGGGTGATGCTGGACTGGAACCCCAACAGGGATGTACCAGGGTCCCCCAAGAGAGGGGTGAGACCTGAGCTCTCTCCTCTCCATTGTGGTCTCAGAGCAACCTTGGAAATGTGTTCAGCACAGCATGATGAGAAGGACCCCAACCCACAAYGAAGCAAAGTCATGACAGAGACAAGAAACTGTGCCTGAGCCACTTGGAAAAGGGCAGTGTTAAAGCCCGCAAATTAAAATGACTCTTCATGGGGCTGGCGCAGTACAAGGAGTCTTTTGTACCTCAGTGCAGACGAGGTTCCTMTTCCCTTCTCCTAGTGTCTCCTCGTTCACCTTACAGTCATCTGGAAACCTCCAGGTTGTACGAGGAGCACAGGCAATGGGTGTGAAAAACCAGCACTGGCCTCCRTCTGCTCATGACACCATGATTTATCGGTGTTTGATAAAAGCCATGTCAAGTCCCATGTTGGGAGCTATTCCCAGTCCCTTTCTAAATCCCTCCAGGTACTGGAGGCCACTCACATGTCTCCCTGTGGCTCTGCTACTGGGCTTGCTCTAGCACTGGCCAWGTGTCCTCCCCAGGCTGTGCTGTCCCTGGGCAGGGGAGCTGCCAGCACGAGGAGGACACCCGAGCCCAGGAAGCCCAGGGCACATGGCTGAAGCAGGAGCCAGTGCTTTGGGCTCAGCTGAGCAGGGCAGCTTTGCAAAGCAGCTGTGATGCCAGACCAAGAAGCCCCTGTGGGTGAAGATGCAGTCTGCAGGCGCAGCTGAAGAAGGTGAGAAGACCACAACCTGGAGGGAGCTGACTCCATGAACTGGAKGCCTGGCTAATGCTCCTTAAAGGTATAAGCTTTTGCCATTTAATCCTCCATTGTTGGTGCCAGTGGGTTCCTGCCTCAGAAAAATGAGCAGGTACCTGTTTGGGGGAGAGGAGCTGCAGGAAGGGAAGGGAAGAGTTAAGAGAATGGATCTGCCCCGGGTTTGGGTGCCTCTATATCCTTAGGAAGCACCTCCCTCCAGCTCCTCTGACAAGGGTTTGCCTCCTGAGGCTTGGGGCAGCCGGGAGCTGTGCCGAGTCAGCCACAGCCAGGCTGCGGGGAGCAGAGAGAAGGTGAGATGGGGCCTTGCTTTTATTCACAACAGAGAAACAAAGAGCAACATACAAAGAGTAAGAAGCAAAAAAGTACAGAATCATAACCATAATAATCATAATAATAATCATAAATACTCAAATCTATCATTCATAGATTGCAATGACAACACTGATAGCTTATTATCATTAGTATTAAGAATGGGAGGGGAAAGGGGATAGCAGGAGGGGTTTCTGAGGGACATTGTCTCCTAAGGGGAGATGTAACRGGGATGGACATCCAAAGAAACAAGCAGACAAAGAGAAGGGTTGGGAAAGCAGCAGGGGCTGGGGATGCTGCTGCTGGAGGCCAGGGACGAGCCTGCTCTGACCCAAGCCTCTGGCTCAGTGTTGCCAACCTGATCACTGCCCTCCTGCCAGCTTTGCTCAGCTGGGAAAGAGGTGGCTGGGAGGCTCAGCCCCAAGGACAGGCAGGGGCTGGAGGGAAAGGAGCAAAATATCCTTTCTAGTCTGAAGAAGWGCTGTTGTTTGCTCAAGTGGTGGAAAGTTCAGGCATTGCCACTGCCATCGGACACTCAGCAGCTTTGTTKGCTCCTCCTTCAAAAGACCTTTCATCTCCTCTGCTCACACTTCCGCCACTGTAGATCCCTGCAAATGATGCACCCTCATCAGATCGGCATGGAAAGGGGATTTTTGTTTCCAGTGAGGCTTTGGGACCAGTCATCTGGCTGTGAGAGCCCATAAAAAGATGTGGCTGGCATCCAAACCTGTGGAGGATTACCACCTGGYACATCCACCCTCATGACAATTCAGAGCTGTCTGATTCAGGGACAAAGTGGCTCATTAGACACAGTTCGATTAAAAAAAAAAAAGTTAATTGCAAGCCACTTGGTGACCCTGATGGCTTTGGGCAGGRCTCCATCAAGGCTTATTTTCTGGATATAGACTTAAAATATTTTATATAGGAGGGCTTCTGATGTACATGCCCAATGTAAAGGAGAGGGATGAATAAAAAGTACAAAGTACTTCAAAACAAATCTGCAAAGGTGGATCATGAATGTCTATATTCTACTAATCTGAAAATATACTTATCTTTGCTCTGGTTTCAGAGAAGAGTCCATAGTGCATAAAACTTCAAACATATCTCAGAAGCATCCAGGCGATGGCAGAGTGGAGATGACAAAAAGCAAACCACCTATCCGCCTCTTTGCAGACATTCAGGGTCTCATTTACAACATCTGCCCTCTCCTTCCTGACTTGCTTTATCTGCMTTTTTGTGCTTGCAACACACAGTGTCACTTAACAGGAGGAATCAGATGGGAGCTTGTGAGTGCTTTGTCTCATCCCCCACCCAGTTGTGCCCACCTGCTGTCCTTTCTATTAAATCCCTTGGGAAGTCATCTAAGCCTCTCTCCATTGCTACACGTAACCAGCTCCTGACCTGAGCTCAGTAAGTCCATGCTGGTACCAACCCTGGAGRACTATGGCATGGGCAGGGACTGAGTGCTATGGAGCAGAGATCATAAGAAAATCACCACTGTCATGCTTGGGAAGAGATGCTGCAGCTGAGGGCAGCAGAAGGGGAAGGAGGACCAGAAGCACTCCTTGGAAAGGAGGCTGGTGACACTAACACTATGCCTGGTGAGAGGGTACCAGAGGGAAGGATGAAGCCTTGTTCTTCTCCCTGCTTGGACTTGACATTGATGCCTACTTAGGACATCCTGCTGCATGTGGAGCTCCTGAAATAGCTGCCTGGCTCATGGGATGGACCTAAATGCCTTCTGGAGTCTAGAAAGGGAGCTTAGAAAATAGTGTCATCACTGCTTCAKGATGAGAAGAGAGCAATGTTCAGGTTAGCAACACTGAGCATGTTTGAGGTGGTTGCTGGAAGCAATGATGGGTGGTGGTAGGCTTTTGAGGGCTGACCGTGAGACCTCTCATCAAAAGCGATGTGGGGAGAGGAGCAGGTRGTCCCTGGCCCTTCAATGAATGCCATCTCTCCCTGCCACAGCTCAGGGAACCAGTCAGGAGCATGTGGGAATCCCCCAAATAGCTCCATGGAAAACCAGAAAAACTAAAGTCCAAGAGAGCAAGGAGACTCCAGGGAGACTTGCCTCAACTGCAAATACAGAGATGGCTGAGAAAGCAATGAGCTGAGGGGAGCAGCCCCTCCTTGCGTGATTGCAGCTCCTCACGCCTCTGCTTTATGTTCAGTTTTAAACCTGAGATAATTTGGTTTTGTCACGGGTAGTTTGATTTAAAGATAGAAACGAATGACAAGAGGAGGAACAAGGGAAAGGGAAAGAAACCATGTGGACCCAGAAAAGAAAAGAACAACACTCCAAGGATGACACAGGACACAGACATGCACAAACAGAGACCCCTGAGGTATTAGCTTTGCAAACTAGTGCGAGACAAGGGAGAAAGCAAAGACAGCCACAGGGAGAGATGTGCTTTGCAGTGGAGGCAGCTCAGTGCCTCCAGCTTCAGAAAGCAGCTTCTCAGCAATCCTGACACTGGGGTTTGGGGGCAAGAGCTTGGCTTCCCACCAGGTGGGAGGAAGCAGCCAACCATGTCCGAGTTGTGCCCCTCCATGTGCTTGCAGAGCTTCATGTCTGGACAGCTTATCATCCGYCAGATGGAGGGGAGTCGGCCTGGAGGGCAGCAGGACCGGGGGAGTCCTGGCACCCACACACATGCTCCCCGAGTTTCTCAGATGTGAAACAAATGATGCGGGAAGCCGSAAGAACCGCTGCCCCCAAAGGGAAAGCAGCGCCTCTACTTCCCAAGCAAAGTAGCTGAGGCAGTGGGAGCTRAGGGGCTGGGGCAGGCAGGAAAGACACCTCCCAACAAGAAATCCCAMCTACCACCAGCTTCCCATCCCTCCCTCTGCTGTGGCAGCCTCTGACGCCTTCCCCATGCAGCTGGAGGTGACATCCTGAAGCCTCCCATCCACTTCAGGTGACTCTCACCTTTCTCTCTCCAGCGAGGATGGACAGCTGAAAGGAGCAGAGGGGCTATGGCTGGGATTGGGTGACAGCCAGGATGGGGACAATGCCTAGGGTGGGATGATGGCTGGGATGATGTAATGGCTGGGATGGAGATGAGGAGAAACAAACAGAGACCAAGGTGGGAAGTAGAGGCAGCAGCTTCCAGAAGAGTTTTCTGGCTCAGTTTGTGTCATAAGAAGGTTTTATGGTTTGCTCATGTACTTGTTCATTTCTAGAAAAAGTGCCGAGAAGAGTCTCCTGTCCCCTTGTTGATATGCCCAGGGAGAAAGGGGGAAATCTACGTTGTGGACATTAACTATAGAAGGAGCCACAGGCCTCAGATATTGCTTAGAAACTCGTATTTCAGATTTAAATACCATACACAGTAAAAATAGAGCTGAAAGTACCGCCCCACATTGTCTGCAAATCATTGCCAGAATGAACAGCTTCAATAAATTAAAAACAAAACAAAAAAATTGAAATATTATTTACGTCTCAATAAAAATCGCAGTAAAACCATTTACCTTTTCTTTTGTGTGTGTGTTTTCGTTTTTTTTCTTTATATTATATATAATATATATTTATATATGTATAGGGCTGCTCCAGTGCAGCATTTTTAGGATACTTAGCCAGAGAAACACAGGGGAGCATGCTTAGTGCACTGGGGTGCACAAAAGCGGCAGCAGTGGTCCCCCCCTCCAGGTGCTGTGTCCCATCACTGCAGCCAAAATTGCAACCCCTGCCTCTTCCCACTTGAGTTTTAGGCCCAAATTTTGCGTGCAGGTCCCCGAGGGCAGGGACGCCCTGGGGATGGGCGGGAAGGACGAGGGCGAGTGCCGGAGGGACACTAAGCATCCGCCACTATGTTTCCCGACTCTGGAAAGACTCATCCACTTTCACTTCGGCTTCAGCGCTTGCGCTCCCGAAAATGCACGCGCAAGTATAAATACACCCCCCACCCTGCCGCCCCCCTTCCCGCTCCCCCCAGCTTAAATATCCCCCGYCCCAGCCCCGTCCCAGGTCTCCAGGCACCCTGGATGAGTGTCAGGACACCTCGATGATCTCCATGCTGCCCGAAAAGCTGGACTGTTTGCTGATTTTGCCCAGCTCTTCCCGAGCCCTGCCCTCGGACATGGTCTCCTCGAATTCCATCTGGCAGCTCCTCCGCTTGAATTGCTTTTCGGCGCCGGCCTCCTCATGCCAGCTGTGCCGCCCGTCCCGYGGCTCGGCCCGCGCCTTGTCCCTCAGTCTGATCTCACAGCCGGCCGCCACCGCGCCGCAGCCGAACGGCGGCGGGTAGGGGCCGGAGCTGGCGAACAGGCYCCCGCCGCTGCCACCACCGCCACCAGAGTCCTTGCCAAAGTACCAGCCGGCCTCGCCCGAGGGAGTGCTGGGGGACTCCAGGTGCACCCCGCTCCAGGCAGCGGTGGCGCTGGTGGCGCCGGGCGCGGCGGGCGGCTGGCCGAGCCGTGGTGGCAGCCCGTCCTCGGCRCCGGGGCTCTTGCGCGTGGCGCAGGTCCCGCCGACGTTGAGGCTGAGCCCGTGGGCCGGCGAGCCCGCCGGGTGCCGGTGCTTCCGCCGCTGCCTCACCTTGGCCTCCAGCAGCAGCTCGGGCCCCGTGGGCCGGTCGGGGCTGTCCGCCCCGGGGGAGAAGGGGCTGAGGCTGCCCGGGCCTGAGGGGCTGTCCAGCTTGCAGAGTTTGGGGGCTTCCCCAGGTCCAGCGGGCCCGGGGGGGTCCTGCCGCAGGCCGGGGGAGTAGGCAGACTTGATGTCCAGGGAGAAAGAGCGTTTCAGGCGGTTGGTGTCCTGGATGCGCTCSGAGGAGAGGTGCAAGCCATTGAGCCCCTGCTGCAGGGTGGTGGGAGACAGGACCTTYGGGGTCCCACCCTGCCACTCGAGGTCACTGGGGGCGGGCGCCGAGCCGGTGCTCCTCGGCACATCCTCGGCCTTCTCTGAGGTAGGTGTTAGGGGATGCCGGCTGCCCTCAGCCACCTCTGCTGGGTCCTGCTGGGCGTCCCCCTCGCCCCGGTCTCCCTTTGACTTCAGGGCCTTGAGGAGCTTCAGGCTCCTCTCGTACTCCAGGAGCTGGCCCAGGAAGTTGAAGTTGGGCGAGATGGATGGGCGACGGTCCTTAACGAACCTGCCAAGAGGCACAGACAGCCCCGTTGGTGCTTGGTCCTTCGGTGGGCCACCCCTACTCTCTCAGCCTCTTTCGGGAAAAGAGGCATCACTGAGAACCTTCTGATCAGGCCCTCCAAAGAAAAGGGTCTTGGGGACATATGGAACCTCAGGATGCCCCAGGATTAGAGTTGGGACTGCCTCCCCATTACTTTTTACCAACTGCCAACCATTCCTTGTTGCACGCACTTTATGAGGGAAGGTTTGGTTTGGTTTTGCTGGGACCCAACCAAGGCAAGACAGAGCTTCAAGGACCCCTGACCCTCTCCACCTGGGCTCAGCCTGCTTTCCTTCCCTGGAGTGAAGCATTCTGGCTTAACCCCCCCACCCTCAGGGGAAAACTCACCTGTAAGCATCGTCTGATGACATACCCATGGTCTTCATGATGTAGGCAATGGCAATGGTGGCTGACCGGGAGATCCCAGCCAAGCAGTGCACGATCACCTGGCAGCTGGACACCTTGGCTTTGTCTGGAGCATGGCAGAGGAAACAGAGAGAACAGTGATGGTGAGCAAAATGGCTCCAGCCTTCCCTCCCAGCCCTCAGCCCTTTTGTATGAGAGGACAATGTTACTGGGAGCAAGAACACAGAGAACAGGAGAGTTCATTCAGGCTGTGAAGGCAGAGACCTGGAGGGTGTGCAATCATTGTGAAAAAAACTCACCAATGAATTCGATGGACTTGTCCAGCCAGGGGAGCAGCTTCTCACAGTAGTTGTCATTGACAGGAATGCGCATGAAGTGACTATCACAGATGAAGTCTGGCTTGGGACACGAGTTGCTGGCATTTAGGACATAGCTTATCCCATTCTGTGTCATCAAGTCCTGGTAGGAAAGAAGCCATCAAATCATCAGCTGAGTTCAGCCAGCACCAGGTGCTGAAGATCTGTCTTGCCATACACACTCCCTGCCTTTTCCCATCCCAGCATTTTCTCCTGTGGGTATCCTTATGCAGCCTTGGCCTAGTTGATAATACAGCAGAGACCAGCTGAAAAAGTTGTGTCAGTTTCTATGGCACATGTTTGAACCTTGGCAGATCTTAAACTTGGTCCAAGTAAAAGTAAGCAAGGCCAAAGACACCTGGAGAGGGGTTCCAGAGAGGGAAACCCAAGAATCCCAGTACGAGAGGAGTAGGGCAATACAAGAAAGAAATTAGCATAAACTCTGGCCAAAAGCTGTGAAAGTATCACCTGAGGGAGAAAGGAGACAACTCACCAATAGAATGGAGTGGGTCACTCCACTCTGGGGGTAGCACCCTATGTTAACCAATGTGGCCAGAAAATGCTCTATCCATAGGCAACAGAGAGAGGTCAAGTGCAGAGGACATGCAYGGGCAATGCTTCTCTTCTCCAGCATGTGGCCACATTGTGGGGACGGCAGAAAACATAGTTCCAAAAGATGAACAAAACCCTCTAAGGAGGTGGGGAAGGAAAGAAACTATCCATTTCCCTGCCTGGCATTAGCTCCTCAGGATATCAGGCCTGGCTCTCCAGTGGCCAGTTCCTGCCCACCCCAGCAGGCTTGATGGAGCCAGCCCAGCGCCCAGGCTCACATTCTTGTAATTTTTCTCCTTCATTTCCTTCTACTCCCTGTACATAATTTCTCCCTCCCTCCCTTCTGTCTCCAACTCCCCTTTAGTGTCATGGTCCCTCTCCCTCCTTGCCTCCTTGCCTTATCCTCTCCCTGGATAAGGATGCCTGTTTTGCTCCCTCATGGCCACAGTAGGCAGACGCCTGGCAGCACTTTAACTGCAATTCCTCTTCCTTTTTTCTCATCATTACTTTCCTTTAAACAAAATTCCTCCCCTGRTGTGACAGCACAGCCTTTCTGGAACTTTTAAAATGGCACTGTGTGGTCCTCCCTCTGGGAAGCAGAGGAGTCCACAATACTTTCACCCCTCTGTACGACTAGGGTGCCCAACAGGACAGGGCAGATGTGTCCCCTCRACAGGGCTGTACCTTGTTCAGGACATCCTTCTGGGAGCCCAAGTAGAGATGCGGCAGGATGCGCGTGGGGCCAATGTTGGCCACGGGCAAGCATGGCTGGGAGATGCTCATCGGCAGGATGGCAGCTGGCTTCCCCTCGCAGAGGCCTGGGAAGCAGGATGAGAAGGTGGCAAAGCCTCCTGTGGAGAAAATGGGGACATTGATCTCATAGCAGCAAGGCCAAGACCATCAGTACCTGGCACGCCGAGGCCCAGGCTGGGCACAAAGCAGTGATAACCCTGCAGCACTGAGAACAGAGCCTCGAGGAGCAACAAGCCACCAGCCACCACTAACCAATGCAGATACCATGTGATGTCCATGACACACACAGGGACAAAGGAATGGAGACCCAGCTCTGATTYTTCCTGTTGCAGCTGGAGATTAAAGTGCACGTGAGGCATTTCACATCCTCACCAATGTTGTGGGTGCCTGGCTTTTGGCCAGCATTCCAAACCGCAACAGTTCTTCTCAGCTTCATTCAGACAAATGACAGGAAAAGACAAGCCTTTTCTTGATTCCCTGCTATTCTGAGGACAGGGCCACCTTTTGATAGCAAAATCCATCAGGGTAGCATGATCACAAGCAAGCAAAGCTACTGGGGTCTGGGAGGTCAGCCCAAACCTCACTGCACTGGCTACACTTACACACTGTGTTCTCTGAGRTGTCTCCTCTGCCCAGCCCTGCCAAGCCCACGATTTCTGCCACACCATGGTGGAATAATGGTACCTGAAGGCCAATGCTGTTTCTCATTCTCTGACCTTACTGAATGTGACAACAAGCAGTGTCCAGTTTACTGCACCAAGCTTCTGGGCAGTCACACTCAGTTTGAGCATGYTGAAGCCCAGTGCAGAAAGAAAACCTCCAACTGAGATTGCAGTAGGTGGCATGTGACAGGCAGAGCTACTGTCACAGGGTCTGGTATGGTCAGAAGCCTGAAAACCAGTCCTCAGCTCAAGAAGAAAGAGCCCTGAATTGAGCAGGGCTGCAGCATTGCCTTRCGTGCACAGTGGCAGCAAAAGGAGCTACAAACCCCCTGTTGCACGTCCTGCACTGTTGCATAAGACCACTGGTGATCCTGATTTGCTCTCACTCACTGATCTCGTACTCCAGGGTAGAGCTAGGTCTGGCTAGCAGTGGCCTAACTTTACCACCCTCCAGCTGAGGACATCTGGGTGGCAGCTTCATGCAATGGAGAGAAGCTTGAGTCATATCTGCCTCRAGTCTCCCTCGAGGTTTTCCCAGTCATGTGAATGAGCAGATGCAGCTTGACATCACCCAAAGGGCAGAGAGGACTTGGAGGCTTGACTGCCTTTGACTGTCAAGGGGACCAGGATACTCCCACGAGATCCTTTGGAGAGCCCAAGTCTCTGGACTGGGCACCATGGGAATCCCTGGCCCATCTCCACAGCTAAACGAGACCTTTWAATGAGCCAGTTTCTCCCCTTCGCAAGTGAGGCAGCCTTGGCGTATTCTCAATTTACCTTCTCCAGCACTTTGGCAACATTTCTGCTGAGCCKCCTGGAGCACCCTTCTGGCTGCTGGTGTGGCACTGACAATCTGGAGAAGCATGACTGGTGCTGCACAAAACCAACCTGACATGTGTGTGAGATGAAGGTGAYGGAGAAGCCAGAGCAGTGCACAAGATCATGCTCACACCACCTGGCAACATCCAAGGTTCTCCATCACATCCATCTCAGCACCTCCTGGTGTCAACTCCCACTGGCCCAAGGAGGTGTCCTTTAACAAATCTCTTTCCTCCCCTCTTTTATGTTTTCCTGTATGGCAGCTAACACAGCTTCCAGCTTCAAAACCCAGTCAAGACGGGAGGGGCAGAGTTAATGCACCTTATCTTTTCAAGCAGTTCCTTTTCTCTGGCTCCCTCTGAAATGACATCACCTCTCAATTGGGACATTAAATCAGAGCAAAAGCAGGAGGCCCAGCACAGGTGCAGCATAGCTCTGGTTACTGCTCATCCCTGCACTGTGTCCCTACTGTCAATGAGTGTCCATCACTAGCCAGAGCTCTGCATGGACACGTGATCTCCCTGYTTTGCCCTGTGCTGATGGCTGGGAGATACTGAGACAGAAACCCTGTGGGAAGTTTTTCCTTCAGCTGCCCCTAGAAAAGTCTGCAGCACTTGGGTTTGAGTGGGGCACAGATCCGACTCCTGGGCTTATGCAAAACAACATGGGAATTTTTCTGAAGGAACATGGCACATTTTTGGGAAGCAGGGTGCACATATATGCAGCCTCAGGGATCAGTGGTTCTTGTGGTCCGTAGGWCCCCAGCCTCTCATGCTCACATCCATGAGGAGCCCAGGGCCGTGGATGGGTCTGTATGACTCTTTAAGGTGATCTCATAGTTTAAGCAGGTCGGGCTATGCTTCTCTCTCCCCACTGCCCACCTCTGCCAGCCCAGCCTGGGGAAGTCCAAGAAGCAGCTGAGRGGGCTGTGAAGCAGGCAGGGATATTAGCAGAGTGGCAGCAGTGCCCTCAGCTGCAGTGCCTACCTGTGCAGGCTGCCACAACTGGAGGATGCTGGCACCTGAAATGATGCCCATAGCTCACATCACTTGTCCTAAGAAAAGCCTCAACCCTGTGTCCCGAAGTCCAGGCATGCTCCCAGCCACCTGTCCTCATTTCCCCCATACTTGCAGCTGCTGAGGGTAGCCTGGGTTTGGGGRAAGCCCTAGACATGGGGCTGGGTACCCGACACCATCCAAACATGGAAGTGACACTCACCCCACCCTGTAGTGGCTGCTCCAGCATGCCTTTCATTTCAGAGAGCGAAGCARCTCTTCAAAACAATCCCAAAGGCAGTGAATGTCCCTAGCTGGGCTCCAACTGATACCCAGGCTTTCCTCCACTCTGTGCCCCCAGGCCATGGATCCCAGATTTTACTGGGAGCGAGCAGCAGAGCCCAATGACATGAGGAGCCAGGGTAGCATCAGTTTTAGCCTTTCCTCACAGTGCAGGTGTCAGGAGCACCATTTCTCTTGGCACATGTGGAATTAAGCTCAGGAAGGATTTGTATCTGTCGTGGAGCACACATTTGGGAATCTCTGGTTTCTTCTGGATGCTCCCCTCCCTGGGTGAGGGCTTTTTGGGGAAGAGCTGCTCCTTGTGTGGCACAGCCCAGTGAGCTGCTTATGGGTCCAGCACAGAGGGCTCTCAAAACCATTCTCTGGAAAAAAACAGTGTATTCCTGTCTACTGCAATTACCTGAGGCAGACATGCCCAAGAGAAGTGGGAACCAGAAGGGAAGGGAACCAGAACAAAAGTGGGAATGCTTTCACTGCTCCATCTGAAAATGGAGGAAAGAGGAGCCAAGAACCAGCATGAGGCAGGTTCTGGGAAGGCTAGGAAGTAAAAATCACCTTCCTGATTTTGGGAGTTTCATTCAGCAATGCCCCCAGAGATATAAAAACCCTGTGTGATGTCAAGCTTGTGAARAATGCAGCTTTAGAAAAATGCAGCTTTCAGAGGGGAGGGAAGTGCTAGCACACGCCAGAGAAAAGAGGGAAACTGAGGCACAGGGTGTTGCAGCAACTTAGTGCTAGAAGAGTGCAACAACAGGGACCTTGTATCTCCCCCATCCCAGGTTTCACTAACACGGTGCTGACTACCCTTCCACCGCTTGCTGTGCTCTGTAGAGATCCCTCTGGGTCAGCCCCAGCACTGCTCTTCTGTCAAACAGGAGAGGGGAAAATCACACAACTTCTCCCCTACCCCCATCTTTGCCAGGCCCTCCCCTCTGCACATTTTCCAGCTGAACATCTATGATAACCTCCCAGAGAAACTGGATTTATTGTGAGAACAGATGCTGCAGAGGGCAGGCAAACAGCCTGGGAATCCTCCCCGAGCCTGTCCATCAGGCCAGGGGGAAGACGCCAGCAGCATCTTTGAATAGCTCCTGTGGTACCCACACTGCCGCAGCTGCTGGGAGCTGTGTGACTCCTCCCCTCGAGCAGCAAACTGCACAGCGAGGAGGCCCTTTGCCAGTGCCTGCACCAGTGTCTGCGTATGGCCCTGAGACGGCTGGCACCAGCATCAACAAAAACACAGGCACGGAAGGACATGACTAGGTGCATGGACAGAGATGTTGGACTGCTGAGCTGGGACCCTGACACACCTGGGGACYCTCCACTGCCTTGGCTGTCACCTTCAGGTGGTCTCTGAGGACATCCTAGTCATAGCCGGGTCACTGACAATATCTYAGACAAAACCTGCAAGCTGGACTGTGCCCTTCTCTGTCAAGGCTGGGCAACAGCAGCAGTGCAGAGAAGGTGACATAGAAGGTGACAAAGTCCTGGCTATGGACAGGGATGTAGTGTGGCATTATTTTCCTTCTGGTGGTAAGCCCCAGCTTTAGGGATTTACAATCCATTAAGCTGCATGACACGTTAACGGAGACACTGCTGAGGATAAAAGGAAGGTGTGGGACACATGAAGCATGAATATCCCAGTGTCCCAGCTTCCTGCCATTCCCTGTGTCCCTCCCTGCGCTGAGGCCATCTTTCTAGGCTGGAGGGGTAAGGTGGAGATGAGGCTTTGAAAATCTGCTCACACCTTGCTCTGATGGCAGCACTCTGCCCATTCACCTCCAGCCCCATGGACTCACCACTTCCTTCACACTCTTCTGAAACAACCCAACAGCTCTGGCCTTCATGCTCTGCCCCACTGACCGCAAGAAGCTGTGAAAGGCTGTCCAGGGCATGTGCCTCACCTCAAAACTGCTCTTCAAGAGAGCCACATGCCTCTTGAGCACCCTCAGCCCCATGAGTCTTGTCAAAATTCCCCCAGGGACACACTAAACAGTGTGTCCTGTTCAGCAGCTTCCCCTGTGCATCACAGGCTCAAAGGTCCCCACCAAGAAATAGGGAAGAGGTGACATGTCACTCTGCTGTGTCATCAGCTTGTGGCAGCAAGGAGGAGGGGAACAGGCGCATCCAGAGCTGGAAATCCTCCCTGGGCCAGCAGCTGCCACACCCCTCTCCTTACCCCCAGCGCTCACACCGGAAGCTGTAAGGAGACCTACAGGGGTATTAAAGAAGTGTTTTACAGCCCACCCTCATCGCTGCAATAATGAGAGTCAGAGAGCAGCAGCCAGAGCTGTTCAGAGGCCGGTTCCCTTTGCAGCT